GGTTGCAGCTTGTAACTGGGGGTCCAGCGGTTTTTGGTGGTCCGTAATCCTTTCTTCTTTTTGGGATGGTTCCAGGTAGCTCTCTGGTTCTCACACCTGTGCAGAATCTCCCCCCCCCCCTTTGAATGAGATTCCCTCACATTCCTCCGGGACCCCTCCCTGGTGTCTCCTCCTCCCTCCTCCCTATTCAGCATCAGCTCCTCTGCCAGGTCACACACTTCCAATCAGATTTTAGGGGTGTTTTTATTAGGTGGGAGGTGAAAATAACTGGGGAGGTGAAAGTAAAATTGGCTATGGCTTATTCACTTCCTTAAACTTTCCAAAGGAGTTGATTCCCCCTCCCTCAAACATGACTCCGGTTTGGCCTCAGACCCATGTACTATTTGCAACTGTGGTTGGGTACCAGCTGGAATGTCATCGTATCCGATCCCCTCCACGGTATCAGGTATGTTTTGATGTGTTACTGCTAATCCCCCTAGTAACAAACTTGAGAGAAAGTCTTCCCCCACCACCAAAAAGTGGAGGGAGAGAGACAAACTCTTTAGCCGCCGCTGGTGTGTGTCTCCCTGTCAGTGAGGCTTTCTGGCACAGGATCTCCAGCTCCAACCGGTGCCTCCACTTCAGCGGCTTCTGCTCCTCCTCCAGGATTTGCCTTTTGTTCTCCACCTCTTTTTTCTGTGGCTTTCTCTCCCCCCCACTCTTGGTCTCTGAGCCTCTCAGGCTCTGTTGGGTCCAAGCTGCCTGCCCTGACCTCACCATAATCTACGGCACAGAAATAAAAACAAACTCAGTGTTCCACCTGTGTGTGTGAGCAACAAATTTCAAAGATTGCCAGTTTAGCTCTGCTGATTTCTGGGCTTTCTTATCCCACCGTTGCCACCAAGTGTGAGGGAATGGGCTGGTAAGCCCTCCTGTTCCTTCTGGTTGGCCTCTGGATGGTTGAAAACCCCCCACAGCTGCCCCACGCCTCTGCTTGGTGATGCTGCTCCTTCCCTCCCTTTGCTCCTTGGGGATGCCAAAAACAAACTGTGTAGCCCCTGCTGCCACCGCAGGTCCTCCCTGGAGCATCTCCTGCTAAGCAAGGTCACACATCAAGCACTGTGTGGTAGTACCTGCGTTGCCATTTAGAGGTTCCAGCGGCATGCTACAACTCCCCACGTTGCTCCTACAAGCTAGCGTAGTGGCCATCTGTGGCAACTTGGCAGTTCTGAGATATCGTGTTTGAGGGATGGTGAGCTTACCTGCTGCCCCTCTTTGCCCCTCACACTTCAGATGTGAAGACTATTTCCAGAGATCTGGCTTCCAGGCATTAAAAATATAAGAAAGCTGTATAAATGAATAAAAAGAATCCTCATGGTCTTTTCAGGCAGAGCAGAGGAACAAAGAAAAGGTGTGAACGCACATTCCCTTAAATGATGCTTAATTAGGTGGGAAGGTGACAGCATTCCGTGCGCCTCGGCGTCTAGTCATGCCGTCCACATGACCACAGAGACGTCTGTGGACAGTGCTGGCTCTTCGGCTTGGAAACTGAGATGAGCACCGCCCCCTAGAGTCGGATTCGACTGGCTCTTGACCAAGGGAAACCTTTACCTTTTTTAAATTTTACTTGAAGCATAGAATCATAGAGTTGGAAGGGACCTCCAGGGTCATCTAGTCCAACCCCCTGCACAAGGCAGTTCAACATTCAACACTTTGTCCCTTGCTGTGTGGACCAAATGGAGTCCAAAGGTAAAATGTTAGTCCTGCATGGCTTGTGGCTCCCTGTTCAGGAGTTGTAGAAGAAAAAGCTTCTTTGCTGTGTCTGTAATTTACTTTGGGGAGAGTGCATCCCCCCCCCGCACACACCACCGGATCTCACAAGGAAAAGAACACATTCTAGCAATTTGTCTGCTTCCCTCTGTGTCTCTGGGTGTCACCTTCCAACAGGTGGTGAAACCCATTGTCCTGCTTCAGCCAGAGCCATTAGCATAACAAAGAGCTTGAATGCTGTTGATGGATTCTGCCATCTGTGAGTTTGCAACTGTTCACGAACATAGTGCGATCACTGGAATAAAAATATTGGGGTGAACTCTAGGACGGAAGGCATTTCATTCACATGTATAGTTCAGAACACTGAATGACAGGCATAGATTACCTTGGCAGTTTCCTCCATAGTGTGTTGAGTTGGGCAATTAGGAGAATGTTGTGTACTTTTTAATTTCTTTTTCCCTCTTGAAACCTAAGAAGGACATTTGCACTGTTATCTTATAGGATATATAAAAGTCTGAGAAAGAATCGATGTCATCTCTACATAGGTTAGTTTGGACGCCTGCCATTTACGTATTGAATTTGACTCTGTCCTCCTTCTGCAAAAAAGAGGCATAATTATTTCAGTGTTCTCTTAATGTTATGTTTCCTAAATGCTTATGAACTGCAGCCTTGCAGCCAGGCTTCTTCTAAGACTCCCCGTACAATCTCCACGGTTTAGATCAGTCCATTATCCTAGAGATCACGGAGAGGGATGTGTTTCCATAACTGAAGTTGTCAGTAACCTGTGAAATCAACCCTTTCTGTGCTGAGTTTTACTGACAGATCTGGTGAGGCTGCTTGTCTTCTGCTCTCCACTCTGGGGAAAGACCTCTGGGGTCCTTTGACTTCTTGCTTGAGTTGCTCCGCATGGTCAGTTAGGAATGGTTTCATTGGCATTTGTGGTGAAGAACCTCTAAAGGCACTGGGCATAGGAAAAAATGGCCCTGGGCATAGAGCAGAGCTTTACAACCTGAAAGCAAAACCAAGTTTTTAACAGCAGTGTGATTAATAGAAACACCTCCCACCCCACATTCACGCACACGCGCATTAAGGGGTAGGGAAACCATAACGTTTTGTTTTGAAGTAGGTGGAAATCCTCAGGCGTGGGATGGCTTCCTGCCCTGCTGCAGAAGAAGCAGGTTGGCCAGGTTAAGTTGCATCTCATCCATATTTTACATCCATATGTTACTGGATGTTAACCTAGTCCCTTTGAAAAGGTACCACCTGCTGCAGTGAACCAAAGTGGGTGGGTGGGAGGCGGTGGTGAAATCAGTTGCACTTTGTGGTGATTTGTGTGGGCTCTTTGCAAGTTCTGATCTCTTCAGTGATGGTGCAACCAGTTCTAGGACTGGGCCACAGAACTGTGGCTTTTGTTCCTTCATTATAGAATTCTGTTGTACGTCTCCCCTCATCCTTATATAAAACATCAATAGCGACAAAGATTTGAGTACTGCTGCGGGGGGGGGGGGGACGGGGGGAGCAGGCTCTCCTGAATGCAGGTGGTGGGACTCCTAGAATCACAGAATCATAGAGTTGGAAGGGACCTCCAGGGCCATCTAGTCCAACCCCTGCACAATGCAGGAAATTCACAAATACCTCCCCCCACCCCCCTGTGACTCCTGATCCATGCCCAGAAGATGGCAGTAAAAACCCTCCAGGATTCCTGGCCAAACTGGCCTGGAGAAAAATTGCTTCCTGACCATACAGTCTATCTAGTCCCACCCCCTGCTCAATGCAGGATCAGCCTAGAGCATCCCTAACAAGTGTTTGTCCAGATGCTACTTAAAGACTGCCAGCGAGGGGGAGCTCACCACCTTCCTAGGTAGCTGATTCCACTGCTGAATGTCCTAATATCCAGTCTGCCCATATTTTAAACCCATTATTGCAAGTCCTCCGCTGCCAACAGAAACAGCTCCCTGCCCTCCTCCAAGTGACAGCCCTTCAAATACTTCAAGAATGCAATCATGTTCCCCCTCAACCTCCTCTTCTCCAGACTAAACATTCCCAGGTCCCTCAGCCTTTCCTCACAGGGCTTGGTCTCCAGGCCCCTGATCATCCTCGTCGCTCTCCTCTGTACCCGCTCCATTCTGTCCACATCCTTTTTGAAGTGAGGCCTCCAGAACTGCACACAGTACTCCAGGTGCGGCCTGACCAATGCAGTGTACAGAGGGACTGTGACATCTTGCAATTTGGATATTATGCCTCTGTTGATACATTCGAAGATCACATTAACCTTTTTTGTTGCTGCATAACTTGCAGGCTCCAACTTAGGGTCATAAGGTTATCGCTTATTTCTTGCACATCTCCAAAGACTAAAAACTGCATAAGACACAGGCTTACGGCTGAAATCAGACACAACACACCAGGCAGACATGTAAGATCAGGGCTGTGTGGCCAGTTTTCACTTGGCGTTTACATCTACCCCAACAGAAGGAGCAACGTGAATGTTAGACGATCACAGGTCAATATGGTAGCAGGTAGTCCGAAGTGTGTGTGTGTGAGAGAGAGAGAGAGAGAGAGACATCAGTTGCATTTTATGATGACTTGGTGCTGGCTCTGTGCATGTTCTGAGCACTTCAGTGGTGGCGCAACCAGTTGTGGGATCAAGCCACAGAACCATGGCTCTTGTTCCTTCATTTTATAATTCTGTAGTGTGATGTCTTCCCTCCTCCTTGTACAAAACAGCAAGAGCCTGAAAAGTGGAGAAAACTGTGCAGTTACGTAGAAGAAGAGAAAGGTGAGGGAGAAGGGGAAATCGTCACTAAGCCTGGAGATCAGGCAAAGAATGATGGAGCACAGGAATTATTACTGGAGAGCAGAATCAGGAAGGAAGTATATGAAGGACCAGAAGGCTTAGGGAATGCCAGCAGAGAGTAGGAAAGAGGAGAAGAGCAATAATCCTTCAGAGAAACCTTGAAGGAAAGATGAAAGGGCAGCAAGAACAGAACCATTTCCACGCAAATCTTTCTACCGTGGCCTCCCACAAACGAGTTACACCCCCTGTGTCACTCCCCTTGCAGGCGCAGCACTTCTTTGGTGCCCCTGGGTGAGTGCTGCTGCATTCTGAGAATCCAGGGGGGGAGGCGGGCAATTGTCAGCCCCCATCCCATGATACTGTGGGGCATCGCTGCCTGGGGCACGTGTGTGTGCTTTCGGCAGCTGCTGGGATTTCTCTGTGCGTCCCATAATCGAGTGTCTGTTTGTCTTTTCAGCTTGGCAATGAGGAGCAGCAGTTGGTGTGGGCCAAGCGCGAAAGTGAGAAGGCGGAGCAGGAGAGGCTGGCACGATTGCAAAGGCAGGAGCAGGAGGACCTGGAGTTGGCCATTGCACTCAGTAAGGCTGACATGCCAACCTCGTAAGGCAAGGGTTTGCCCGCCTGAGCCCCAGCCAGGATCCTTTATAGGTTTTTGGTGGCTGGTTGGTTTGTTTCCTAGTGCTCTGAAGTAGGTCTCACCGCCTACTGGGACCGGCTGGTTAGAGCTGCTGTGTTTGGTGGGCGTGACTTCAGGGGCCCCCCCATCCCCTGGGCATCATCTGATGAGAACTGCGTGATAGTCTTGATCTCTTGCGAGGGAGAGAACTTGTGACTCCAGGACTGACCACTGAGCCTCCTGCGGCGGACAGACAGCTTGCCCCCTGCTCACGGACTCTTCCCCCCCGTCCCGTTGCCATTTTTTTTTTTTTTTGCCAAGACTGCTGCATAAACACCATAATGACAGAAACTGCCATTCTTGGGTTAGAAGGACCAGCGATGTTCACAGAGACCACTGAGCCGTCGTTCTTTTTTTTAGTCAGCAGTGCTGCTGCTCACACTCCCTGGGTGGGGGTGGGGTGGGGGGATGTCAGTCCTTTCAACGTGTTTCTCGCTTAAGAAAGGAGCCCCCCTCGAACAGTTAGAGAAGTGCGGCCTGGTTCTTGCTGGACTGACCGCGGGTGGGGGGGGCTCACGTGATCTGATGTAGCCCCGCCTACCTCACAGGGTGTCTGTTGTGGGGAGAAGAAGGGAAGGAGATTGTAAGCCGCTCTTGAGACTCCCAAGTGAAGGGCGGGGTATAAATCCAATCTCTTCAAACATCTGTCTCTGGAGTCTGCTGTCGTGGAGAAGGTTCCAGCCTCGCCCCAACTCACTCAAGAGGTCTAGGCCAGGTTTCCACGACTGCCATTCCTTCTGTAACGAATTGTGTGGAATAACCCTCCACCAGCACAACCGTGGAGAAGGAGTATCCCTTTCTCTCGTTAATTGTAAGGCTGTCACTGATTGCCCCAGAAATGAGCCAGTATCTGGGGCACGATAAAAGGCAGGGGATCTTGTAAACCAATGATGATTCATACTGAAACGGAGAAGACCGTGCACGCTGCCGCCAAGGGCAGGTCTGAGCGAGCGTTGCTCGAAAACCCCCACGAGAACACTGCGCCGAGAGCAGCCGACCTCCTTCTCCCGGAAAGCCTCCTGAAGTGCCCTGAGCGCTCCCCCTTCTCTGAATGGCAGGGCCTGCCATGCCAGTGCCACAGGCCAGCACGTGTGGAATGCCACTCCTGGGCTGCCAGTGATTCTCCTTGGCAAGCAGATCGTCACTTCCTCAGAATCGGAGGAGTCCTGCCAGTTCCACCTGCCTTTGGCACCGCTACACTCCGTAATTCATAGGCTGGTCGGGTGGGGACGGACTCCCTGACTGCCCTTGCTGTGACCTGTGGTGTGCAGCAGTTCTGCACAAAACTCTCCTGTTTACACCCTCTGGTCCCACACTGCAGGAACAAATGTCTGACTTTCAGAGCCTCGAATTCAGAGTCTGAGTCTCGTGAGATGGGTTTTTTTTGGGGGGGGGCTGCTCTCCAGATGTCCATGTGAAGCCCCTCCCGCTGTTGCTGCCAAGACAGCGGGAGGGGCTTCTTCTAACCTCATCTCCTTGTGAAATGCTGCTGGGGGTTCGGGCTAAATGCCAGTGAGCACACCCCCACCCCCACCCCACCATTGCCTTTGCTGGCTTCTGTGGCGTTTGTTCGTTCTCTGTTGTCCGTTTGCTTGCCAGCCTGGTCCAGACACCCTCCCCTGCGGTGGGAGACCCGTGGGAGCAGAGGCTGCCTGCAGGGCGGGGCGCTTTCCCCAGGCATATCACGTGCCGTCCCGGACCTCTTTCCATTCTCTTTGTCTTGGCGCCTCTTCTCTGGAGTGGACGCTGCCACCCACCAGTAGGGGGGCCTGGACACTGGGGGGGGGTCTTCTGCTGCTGGGCGACCCCGTGTGCCACTGAGTCCCGTGTTTTCCTTCTCACGTGGCTGTGAATCTTCCTTGAATTTCTGCCCGGCCTCTGTGATAATCTGGTGAGAGAACTGCAGTCGTCATGGCCACCTTCGTTCCTCAGACTTGTTGCCCTGACCTCCGGCTGCAGGGCTGAGCCAGTTCCTCTGGGCTGGCTGGGCCGTTCTTCTTCCTGCCCTCAGTGATACCCCCCCCCCGGGAGGGTGAAAAGACTGCCCCTTCTGAACTGCCCTCAACTTTCAGATGAGGAACCCTGTACCTGACTTGGTTGGGGGGGGGGGGGCTGGATTTGGGGGCAGGGGGTTCCAGCTCCTTGATGAAGCCATAAAAGCCAACTCTGTTCTGCATTTGAGGCCAGAGGGCTGGAAGGGGAGGAGAGTGGCTGGTCAGCCAGGCTGATGACGGCCTGGGAGCTGTTGAGAAAGATGCTGTTTTGAGGTGGGCTTCCTCCCAACACTGCAGGGACCTGCCCTGCCTCCCCTCCTGGCTCAGGGATGCTCGGGTTCTGACCATGGATCCCACTCAGGCTGGGCTGGAAAGCCGCACAGTTTCCTAGGGGTTTTTGGTGGTGGTTGTTTTTTAATGTATGCACATAAAAGAATTGTGCCCCTCCTCTCCGTCGCCTCTCACTCCCTGGCGTGTGTGCCGGTGTATATGTGGAGCCGTTTTGCTTCCCGTCGTGTTGTCGGTGCCTGCCACTTTCTGGCTTGACAGAATGTAAGGATCTCTTGTACATACAGAAACGGTGGCATACATGGTGAGTATGTAGATCTGGAAATGACTCCTGTAGGTAGAAAATCCCAGTCCCGTGAGCTTCTTCCCACACCTTTGGCCAAATTTGTCTTGTGCGCAGGCTGGGGCTATTGGGGGCAGGCTGGCCAGGCAGCATACCCCCCCCAGTTTCCTCTGCTCTTTCAAAATACATGTTTCTGGTGGCAAAAAGTCTTCTCTCTCAGTCTCTTGGTCACTGCTGTGATGCGTTCCGTCCCTCCCTTGGCGCACCTGATTTTTCAGTTCCCCTTTTTAACAACGTATGGGAGAGGGGTTCTACTCGTTACATGCAGTCAAATCATTAGTGCATGAAACACTCCCATAAATGCTTCCAGGAAGCGGGCGGCTGGAGACCGGCTTGCTGGCCCTAGGCAACGGCTTTTCGAAAGTCCTTCCAGACCCTGACATGGCATGGCCTGCTTCAGTCTGTGCAGAGACACTCTTTATCTGTCTGAGGGAATTCCTCCTTTTGGTTACAAAACCTTCCTTGGACTGGAGGGCTGCCAAACTTGCCCCTCTAGCTCATTTGGGAGCTCCTCTGAGCCCCTTCAGCGCAGCCTCTTGCTGGTGTGGGTGGTGGTGGGTGGGGTCTTCACCATCCCACGGTGTGAATGTGCGTCTCTCTAACCTGCAAGCACCCCCGCAGTCTGCCCTTAGGGGATGCTTCCCTTTTCTTGTTTAAGGGCTCTAGCAAAATCTTGCCTTGTGTGCCTGCTCACCCCTCTTTCTGACATCTCTGTGTGTTCCGTGGAATCTGTGCTAAAACCGCACCCCTTCTGTTCCTGCGCCTGTCCTTTGACACCTTGAAACATCCTTTCCTACGGCCTCCCTTATTCTACAGACGCTCTGACTCCTCTGGTTGGGGACCTGCTGCCTCCAGTCCTCTCCTGAGCTTCATGGATTTGTGGGTTGCTCTCTGCTGATAAGAAAGATGTGAATTCACGGGTTGTCTTGGTTGCCCTTTGTGAGTTACAAAGAGGCCTCAGTAAACGGCTGGATTTCTACCACCGTTTCCGTCATCGAAAATGGACTTTCGGCACACAGACTCTTTTTGTTGGTGGTGTTCTGTGTTTCCACCTCAGTTCTGGCTCCCTCCAATGGCACTCAAAGGTGGTTTCTTGGTAAAGGAAAGCAGCAGTGCCTAATGTTTGGCCCGAATCCAGAGAGCCACGGGATCGGTTCTGCACACCCAAAGAATCCTTGGGCTCGTGTTTCAGAGAAAGGAGTAAATCACTTTTGGCAGTTTGTGGCATGGCTTGGCATGGAGGGGAGGGCAGGGAGGAGTTTGTTGTTCAAAGGGAAAAACCTCACGGTGCATGCTTTGGATCCTGGCCTTGTGCTCCTGGTGACATCACAGGGGGCTGGTGGGAATGGGCGGGAGACGTGATGCTGACCAGGGTTAGCCAAATATGTAAATGACTGTATCTATATCCTTGAAATATATAACAAATTGCAAGGAGGGGGAGTTGTGTTGTCGAATTTTAATCTATGCTCTGTGTTTGTTTAATATAAGAGAAATGTTATTGTTTTAATATAATAAATGAAAAAGTTACTTATTTTGGAGCTTTTGGGACTCCAGGCCTGTTCTCTTCTTGGTCACGCCAGCTTGTATTTCTGCCCTCCTGTGTCCGTTTCCCCCTGACCCGTGGGGGCTACAGCTGCCCGCTGGAGGGGGGCCCTCCTTTGGCACAAACGGATCTCAAGGGAACTTGGGGCGCCAGAAGCAGCCATTCTTCCTTGAAGCAGGCCGTTTCCGTCCTGCGTGAGCTTATCCACTTTCTGAATCAGAAGAGGCCTGCTCTGGCTCTCAGCATGGGGCTACATTGATATGGTGGGATGGGCTTTGGACCACTGGGAGAGGATGGCCAAACTGACTCCCCAAGATGGCCTTGAGGGAGTAGCTGGAGCCTGTCAGACACCTGCAGCAATCAGTTCCCAACAACTTTCTTGCAAAGAAGTAAAGTTTATTGAGACATTGAAGTATGCAGATTGTCTTTACGCATCTCGTGTTAGAACTGGCAGTAAGCGCACAAAGCAAGCAGATATACAGAATTCAAGTGGGTCCTCTGATGGCCTGGAGCCAATCACGGAATAGGTAAAAGCCCGCCAAAGCTAACAGGTCCAGTTTCCCTGGAAAAAGCTGGTGCTAGACACCAAGGCCCAAACACTCATGTTACAGAGATAAAGAAACACCGAAGGCACAGAGAAAGGAAACCTAAAATTCCAGAGGCACCCCCCTCACTCCATGGCAGCTAGAGGCCTCAGCTGACAGAGCTTTTCAGTGGGGCTGTTCTCCCTCTGGTGCTAATGGAATATTCTGCATAGCTTCGATTGCCCACATTAGTTGTCAGGTGCCTGTGGTGTATTGAGGGCTGGCAGGGATGAGTTGGGCTCTCTGGTCTGGGGGTGGAGCGGGTGGGGGGTTCACACCTCCCAACTCAGATCTTGGGAGTGTGGAGTTCCTTCCCTTCAAGGAAATATTTCCCCTTTTGAGCAGTGGGTAGTGATTGTGAGGCTTTCCGCTTGTGATGCCATGGGGTTTACCTGACCTGTTTCCGGTAGGTAAGTCATCCCTGCACTGTTTTGCTTTCCTGTGCTCTGCTCTTGGGAGGCCTCTGGGCTCAAGAAGAAGGGAGAGGATTTTTCTCTTCACAGAGGAACACTTTGTTTGGCTGCTACTTTAAATAGACTCCCGAGTGTGTAACGGAGGCACTAATTTTGGCAAAAAAGGGTGTAGCGGCAGACCCTTCCATGCAAATTTTAAACACAATTTCCTTTTCTACATTTGCGAACTTAAAACAAGAGCTGTTATTTGCAAGTACAAGTCCCTCTTGAGGAGGGAAATCCTCCACTGTCCCTGTAGCGCAGCAGTTCCCAAACTTATTTGGCCTACCGCCCCTTTTCAGAAAAAAGATTACTCCGCCTTCTACCTTCAAGAAGTGGACAGTTTGTGGATCTGCACCTGGATCGTTCCAGCGCCCCCCGAGGGGGTGGTATTGCCCACTTTGGGTACCAGTGCTGGCGTCTCCTCCAGCACAGCCTGCTGCCCCTCCCTTTTTGCAGGGTCTCCCGTGCACCCCGGTCCTCTTCCAACTCCCCCAGCCAGCCATTCACGGTCTGAACTTCCCTTGTCATGACTGCTTTACATCCCAGTGTGTTTAATTCTGCAAAGGACTAGTTAAATCCTAGAAAGAGGCTGAGGGCTGCACGGCGCCTTTCCCCACTCGTCTTGACTGTATTGAAATTATTCTTACTGTGGAAATTGGTCTGCCTCATGACCAGCGTGGTGGTGAGGCTAGTTTAACGGTCTAGTCCCTGCTACGTATATTCAGACAGACAGTCAGACGCATCTCCGTTCCACGCAGAGCTGTTGGGGGGACGGGATGGGCCCTTGCTGTAAAATAAGGCTCCATAATTACAGGAACGGAGCGTTTACATCTGAGAGTGAAGAAGCAAGGTTGGCGCTGGCAGAGCTCCAACTGCATCTGGAAAGCATTTGAGGGTGCTGCCTAAATAGTTTATAAACTAAAAATGTTACTAAAATTACAGTTTTGTTTTCAAATGAAAGAGCCCTCTTTTTTTGGTGTTGTGTCGTGCCCTGTGGTTCTGTGGGTCTATTTCTTGCTTGCCCTAGCTAGAATGGGAGAGAGCTGCGAGTGGGAGGGGAGCCAGATAACAGCTCTGGGCAGTCCAGGTTCTATTTTCAGGTAATTATGACCCCTGACAGCTGCATCGTTTAAGAACAGAAATACACATCAGCTCAGAATTGCTTTTATTTTATAAAATTCTGTAACATTAAAATATCTTAAAATATTTTTTTTCTTAAAAAAAAAGGAGCAGGCAAAATACCCATTTGTCTATGACGTGTATAATCCAGTACTTCTGTATAAAAATATTTACAGTATTTATATTATTTTAAAAGTTTTTTTAAAAACAAGACATCAAGCCCTGTGTTTCTAGTGTAGGTCATGGCAGACATGAGACTGCACATTTGAGATGCACAGTTTGAGCCACCACGGTCACTCTGAGAGCTGTTGGCTCTGTTGATGAAGTATACGTTGGCTCAGGTGAGCCTCGAGTCCCTCCCCAGCAGTTCTCAGGAAACTTTTAGCTTATGGTCTGGGCCATCATTGTCAGCTACAGTATCTACACCCTGGACAGCCCTTGGTCACTTTCCCAGGGCCCAGTGGACCCACAAGTAAGCTCCATTAAGAACATAAGAGAAGCCAAAGTTGGATCAGGCCAATGGCCCATCCAGTCCAACACTCTCACACAGTGGCCAAAAATACCAGGCGCCATCAGAAGGTCCAGCGGTGGGGCCAGGACACTAGAAGCCCTCCCACTGTTGCCCATGTCCTGGAGAACAGGCATCAGGAAACAGGTTGGGCTCAGCTGCTGCCTCCAGCCGGTGCCCACTCAATCTCTCCCACAGACATAGTACCAGTTATGTGGTCCCCCAAAGTTCTAGTGAGTCCTTTTTGTCCAGCCCAGTTACATGTGTCTCTTCATGTGCAAAGCCAGATGGTCAGAGCGAGAGAATGCTCGGTCGCACAAGTGGCACTGGAAGGGGCGGTGCCCTGTGTGCTTGCGATAATGGCGTGTAAGTTCATCAGAGCGAGCAAATTTCCAGCCGCATCCATCCCAGTTGCAATGGTAGGGCTTCTCACCTGTTAGGGAGAAAATATGCAAGAGTTGGCACATGCCACACCAGAAGCCACCCTTGGTACCCTGCCCATCATGGCCGTTCTCCCCTGCCCCAGCTACAGGAGCTGCCTCAGCTGGGATGCAATGCCTCCTAGGAGGGAGAGACTGTAGAAAGAATGAGCATCAATACCAAAAGCAAACCCCCCGTGTCTCTTCCTCTGTTGGAACTTGCTGCATCCCACCCTAGCCCTGGAATCCAAAACGCTTGCTTGAATCTTCACCTGAAATGCTTGCTGCTACCAACTGCCTCCAACATGGAAAGGTCTTTGGGCATCCCTCCCTTGGAATCATTCGTGCAGAATATTGGACAACAGGCTGTGCCCAAAAGTCAGTCAGGGCTTCGCCACTCTTGGGAGTCTGCTAGTCCCACTGCTCCCCCCCCCCCCATCAGCCCAGAGGGCAACTGCATTCTTTCCCCTGTGGGATGCTTACCTGTGTGTGTCCGCAGGTGTGCCTTCAGGTGGGAGCTCTTGGTGTACGTTTTCCCACAGCCCGTGTAGGTGCAGGTGTGCGTAGCAGTTCGTTTTCGTGGCCAGGAACGGCGGCCCCTCTTGGGCTTAGCATCCAGCAGCTCCAGGGGGGAGGACGGGGGGGTGAGCATGCCCCTTGGGGCGGAGGGCTGGCAGGGCAGGCTCTCTTCAAACAGGCCGAACTGAGAGGCGCTCTGGTACGGAAGGTGGGTCTGTGGGTGGGCGTAGCCAGAAGCAGGATGGTAGCCTTGGGCGACTGGCAGGAGCACCTGTCCTTGGCCCTCAGCCGCTATGAGACCATCAGGGCTCAACGGAGGGGTCTCTGCCCCAGGGATCTGGGGAGAACCAGCCATCATGCAGGGTGGACTGCCTTCCTGCTTGATCTTGGGGCAGGGCTGGGGGGCCAGGCCCACCAGCGGCCCATAGTTGTCCATCTCAGGCTCCGGCTTGACCGTCTCCATAAAACGCTGTCCCGCAAAGCCAGAGGCCACAAAGAAGCGCCCCTGGACCGTACCGGGGAGGCTGTAGGTTGGGTCCAGGTCGGCCACAAGCGCAGACGAGCCGTAGGGTGGGGGGCTGCCCTGCTCCAAGGGACTGTAGCATCCAGGCGGTGGACTTGTCTCGTAGAAGGGGCCAACTTCCATGGGGCCCGTGCCGTAATCCCCACGGAAAGAATCCTGAGCGAAGGGGCCCTCCTCGCTGCCCATGGCCAGGATCAAGTCCAACACGGTGTTGAGATCTTCGTCGTCTTTGGGAGAGCTGCCCAGGGGCTCTGAGCCTGGCCTCATGTCCGGCATGGGGCAGTGGTGGGGAGGCAGCTTTGCTTCCAGGCCGCAGTTCCATCTCTGAAGGGGGAGAAGGAGGAGAAAAAGACGCTTCAGGGTCCAGTGGGGGAGGGGGGAGATTGCCAGGCCTGGGGCTCCGGGCCCTCCAGGAGGCCTCCTGCCCTCCTCCCCCACCGCCGGCCCAGGGCCCTGGCTAGGGCTTGGCATTGATGCCCCTTGGGGTCTCATGCGCCCTCAGCTCTCTACCGCCCCCCCTTCCAATCCCGCGGCTAGCGCCACTGCTGCCCTCCCAGCTGTCTTCTCCAGCAGGGCCTTTGGAGGGTGGGCTTCTTCCCACCCCCCCACCCCCGAAAGTCGGGGGCTTGCGTCTTCATGGGGCGGCGGAGGGGAGGAAGGCGCCCCCACTCCAT